TTCTCCTCCCGATGATGGCCATTTCGGTCGAAACTAGTCGAGGAATCTAAATGGAATAATAATAATAAAAAACGAAAGAATATTAATCTACAACCCAGGGGTGTCTAATGATTTTAATTTTTTTAATTTTTTAATTTTTTTATTTTCTTATTGTTCAAAATATATATATATATATATATATATATATATATATATATATATATAATATGTTCACTAGATAGATAGATAATGAATATATTGAGATAGATAGCTAGTTAGCTGTCTATCTCAATATATTCATTATCTATCAATCTATCTATCTATCTATCTATCTATCTCAGTCCATCTAAGCTCAAGAATCGATATGGATTTTAAAGAACGGAAGTGATTATTTTGTTATTTATAAATTTTATTCTTATTCTTATACTTTGTTTATTATTAAAGTTAACCCGGACGCGTCTATGCCTAAGGGCAGAGTCTGGTCCGGCGAGGTACACAGATAACGGATGCCTCATATGCGGGGTCTACGGATAATTTTTGCCCGAGCCCACGGGCTCGGATATCTCCACATTAACTTTGGCATTGTGTCGCATCCTACCTTGTGGGCAGGCAGGCAAATATCGTAATATGCCGTCTAAGTGGTCCCCCACTAGCAGTGGTTTACCTACTCCACGCCGCTGGCGAGTTTTGTAATTTGTTGATGTTATAAAGATTACCATTTAATTTCCAACCTCCGTTTTGGTTATTCCTCATTCAGTGACCCTTCCTAGTTTACAACAGTAGGAAATAAAGAAAGGAAATTAAAAAAATAAAGGAAATAAGAAAGAAAGAAAGAAAGAAAGAAAGACATAAATTAACTAAAAAAAAAGAAGAAAAACGGAAATAAAGAAAGAGATTAAGCGTTATATACGTTACCTATGAACACTAATGGTTATGTCACAATCTTCATAAATACGTTGGACACAATTGCAAGTGGGGGTAATATGCTGTCTAAGTAGTCCATCACTAGCAGTGGTTTACCTACTTCAAGCCGCTGGCGAGTATTGTATTTTGTTGATGTTATAAAGATTACCATATCATTTCTAACCTCCATTTTGAGTATTACTCAATCATTAATCTTTCTAAGTTACAGCAGAAAGAAAGACAGACAGAAAAAAAAGTGTTTAAAGTTTCCTTTCAACCCTTTATAAAGAATGGTCTACTCCCTTTTGATCGAGTGAAACGAGGGGAGAAACACTACTTGGTTTCAATAAGAAAGAAAGAAAGAAAGAAAGAAAGAAAGAAAGAAAGAACTGTTTAAGGTTTCCTTCCAATACCATATAAAGAATTGTCTTTTTCCTTTTGATTGGGTGGAAAGAGAGGGAAAAGACACTACTTGGTTTCAATAAGAAAAGAAAGAAAGAAAGAAAGAAAATGTTGGACACTATTGTAAGTTAGGGTAATATGCTGTCTAAGAAGTCCACCACTTGAAGTGGTTTACCTACTTCACGCCGCTGGCGAGTATTGTATTTTGTTGATGTTATAAAGATTACTATTTCATTTCCAACCTCCATTTTGATTATTTCTCATTTAGTAACGATTTCTTGTTTACACTTTCCCTTACGTCCAATTTCAGTCTTTTTTCTTACTTTTTAATTTCTTTCTTTATTTCATATTACATTCTAGAGTCATCTTTCTTTCTTCACTTTTTCTTCCCCTGCAATCATTTTGTCTTTCTTTCTTTCTTTCTTTCTTTCTTTCTTTCTTTTACCAATCACCATAGTGATTTTCCAAGCGTAGCTTAGATGTCGCACAAGGCCGAAAGTATCGGGCACCGAGTGAAAATCGAACTCACTACTCAGTCATAATTATTCTAGCAAGACAAGTTTGCTAAACATTACACCACCTCGTTGTGCCCCCCACCCAATCCTCATAAATATGTTTGACACTATGGTAAGTGGGGGTAATATGCTGTATAAGTAGTCCACCATTAGCAGTGGTTTACCTACTTCACGCCGCTGGCGAGTATTGTATTTTGTTAATCTTATAAAGATTACCATTTTATTTCCAATCTCCATTTGGTTATTCCTCATTCAGTAACCCTTTTTAGGTGACAACAGCAAGAAAGACAGAAAGACAGACAGAAAGAAGTGTTTAAAGTTTCCTTTCAACACCTTTAGATCGCGTGGAAAGAAGGGAAAAGACAGTATTTGGTTTCCATAAAGAAAGAAAGAATGAAAGAAAGTGTTATATACCGTACCTATGAAAACTGATGGATATGTCCCAGTCCTCATAAATGCATTGGCCACTATAGTAAGTGTGAATAATATGCTGTATAAGTAGTCCGCCACTAGCAGTGGTTCACCTATTTCACGCCGCTGGCGAGTATTGTATTTTGTTGATCTTATATAGATTACTATTTCATTTCCAACTTAAGTTTTGGTTATTCCTCATTCAGTAACCTTTTCTAGGTTACAACAATATATAAAGGTATAAGGGAGATTTGTAGGAATTCTCATGTAACGAAAGAAAAAAATCACCTACCTCGAAAAAGAGTTCCTGTTTAAGTGCATGCTTTGCCGAAGGAGAATTTAAGAAAAATAGCAAAACCCTGCTACTTTAACTATCAGAAAAACTATGACAATGTTCATTCCTCCCTGAAAATGGTTCGTTGAATAAAGGCCGTCATTTTTTGCTTACCGGGATCAAAACGATTTTTGAGCATGGAGAACGAAAGTGTGTTTCTCCTGTTGCGAGGGGAAGGTTAGATTTCTGACCCCGTTTTCGTTACTACGTTCTCTGCTGGACTGTTTACAACAGATTTGCGACTGAAATTATTGCTGGCACACAGACTCTTTTTTGTTACTACAGACCTCATTGCTTGACACCCAAACAAGCTTTACTTTTACCAACGTGGGGATTTTGCTGTCTCGATTGAATACTCGCATTGTGGATAGGGTACTGTCATGGACACAATGCCCCTTCCAGCCTCATAGGGGAAAGATAGATATAATCAGCGCGAGAAATGTAAGAGAACTCGGATGAAAATAATATAAAAATGGCATGAACCTCCTTACTAGAATGGTGGAAATCGGTAAGAAATGGAACGAGCACTTTTCGGTTTTGCTCAACAGGGATAGTCATATGGACTAATCTTCTTTAAATTATTTTCAGCAAGGACCCATCATGGAAACTAAGATCGATTCCTTCTACATAAGAAATAAAAGAATATGACAAGAGTTTTGTAGGAATTATTGTGGTATAAATTTACTTTTGCAAGTACAGCGTAACACGAATATAAGAGAAACCCGGATATAAGAGAAACCCGGATATAAGAGAAACCCGGATATAAGAGGAAATAAGATATAAGGATATAAGAGATTTTCTCTGGTCCCAAATTAGAGCTTGTGTTAATGTATATAAATTGGTCCAAACCCGGATATAAGAGAAACCCGGATATAAGAGACTTCTTCTCCGGTCCCGACAATTCTCTTATATCCGGGTTACACTGTATATAAAATCCTCGTAGGGGGTTTTGCTGTCGCGATTAAATACTCACATTGTGGATAGGATATTTCCAGAGACATAATGTGCCTTCCAGCCTCATAGGGGAAAATACATATGATCAGCACGACGAATCCAAAAGAACTTTTGATAGTAAGTCTGATTAGTTTGACAAGGTAACTCTTATATAAAAAAAACTTATTTTTATCAGAGGAGGCAATGGATAGCGCCTTGGATTGAGGAATCGGAGAGCCGAGTTCGAATTCCAGTCGAATCCATTACATTCACTTACGTGCTAATACCCTTGGGAAAGGTATAAATCCTTTTCTTCTACTTCCAGCTTTGATGCCTGTATCCTTCATCAAGGGACCGACGAACAGAGAAATGGGAATTACTCACCGACATACTTTTTTGTAGATGGGTTATTAACCTAATTTATATTTATACGTTCTTTTTATAGATATTATATATATATATATATCAATAAGTGCAACTCAGTTTCATGGTTACCTAATTCATCAGGTACAAAATGCAAATGAACCATTTAATACAGTTGTTTTAAATGTATAAATATTAATATAATGTGTTCTATTATTGCTCGGTACGGTAGTTTACAATTAATCTCTTTGTCTCAAGTAACATTGTACTGTATATAAAGCTAATGTTTAATATTATAATAAAATAAGCTAAAAATAAAAGTGCTGATTATTTCAATAATGGCGTCACACACTGCGGTGTGTCTTATATGCACGAGTTTGTCGTTGTTTGGATATCTTCCATGCAAACAGAAACAGGCTCTCATCACTGTCTTGTCCGTGTATTGCATAATATATTGTAATGTAATTGTCATCTTCGATAATGGCTTATGTAAGCCGAAAGCTTAAATTGGATTAAAAAATATGTATCAATATTGTGATTTTCTTTCTTCTTTTAATGATAATGCTATTAAGCTTATCAGACGATATGAAAAGAATTTACATAAAATAAATAGACAACACTTGTCTATATTATTTAATGAAACATGTATGAATGAAAATATGATGCCTAAATACACACACACACACGCGCTCGCGCGCGCGCACACACACACACACACACACATATATATATATATATATATATATATGTGTGTGTGTGTGTGTATTTCTATATAGGCGGAAGAGGTTATAGTAGTTCCAACGAGAGAAAAGCGTGTATATTAAAAAGAAGAGAGAAACCGCAAATGTTTTTGGTTGTAATGTGCATTTTTTTGTAAAAAAAATATTATGCTTTATTTTCCATAATTTGCTACACGTGTTTCTGGTCTCGCGACTCTGATCAGGCAAAGAGTGGAGATTTCCACATATTATTAAAAATAATAATTTTTTCCTTATATTTTTTGATGTTAAATATTCTCGATATGAGACATTCTCTTTTTCTGTGTTAGTGACCCAAATGTCTTTCTTGAACTGGCAGTGAAAAGTTCTGCGTGAAGGGTTATAAAACAATTAAGATTGGTTCGAGAAATGATGGAGTAGTTATCGGCATCCTTATCTTTTTATGAACCCTGTGTGTTCTTAGATCTATTTCCATTTTCGTGTGCTTTTGACAGCAAGCGTGTATATATGCGTATATCCCCTCTCCATACATACACACTGTCTCACTACGAGGAATCAGTGAACACATCTGTACACACACACATACACACACACATACACATACCCTTCCATTACAAGGAATCAGTACACACACACACACACACACACACACACACACACACACACGTACAAACACATACTTCCCAAGTTACATGGAGTCAGTATACACACGCACATACACACATATATATGTACACACATACACACATACTTCCTAAGTTGTGTGGGGTTTGTGTGCGTGTAGTTCTCCTGCTTTTGTCAATATGTGTATATATATATACATTCGTACATCCCTACAGACACCCGCATGTGAGCGTGCGTGCATGTATGTGAGTGATTTGATCACTGTATTTGGTCACCTCGTGTGCATGTTGTGTGCTTTTGCATCTGGGGTTATGATCTATTTAGTTCCGGTTTAAATTTGTTTATGAAGTTTTTTCTTATAATTATAGGTAAGAATAATTGTCTCTTTGATATATTGGCATAATTTTAAATTCACTCTGGTTACCTTTGAAGATGTGTTGTGATACAAAAAGTTTTCTGTTGTCTGGCAATTTTATATTGCTTTTGTGTAGGGAGATCCTGTTTTTCAGTTGTTGGCTGATACCTATATATGACTTCTTGCATTTTGTGCATTTGAGTACATAAATCACATTTTTGGAGTTGCAGATGACTGGCTTCCTCCTGTATCACGTTGAAATACCAGTTTTTGTACGATAACTGAAGTTAAGCAACGTCGAGCATAGTTATTATCTAGATCGGTGACCGATACTAGGTGGTAAATTTTAGGAGTGAGGGAGGTGTAATGAATAATGATTTAAAATCGGAGAGCTGAATTCAAGCCCATCTCTTCTCCAAAGCAACGGGTTGAATACCGTAACTTTTTCTATCTATCTCAGTTTGTTCATTATCTATCTATCTATCTATCTATCTATCTATCTATCTATCTATCTCAGTCTGTTCATTAACTATCTATCTATCAGCCTTGTCATTATATATCTATCTATCTATCTATCTGTTGTGGATCCCGCGTGAAAAATAGGTATCCAATAAATGACAAACGCAAGTATTTAAGCTAAGAAATTAAATGTATTTACACAAAATACAAAAGGTAATGCTGTTAGTAAAATCCAGTAACACGGTTAGTAGCAAATACAGATAGATATATACAGTCTCGAAGTAGGACATCCTTAGAGTCTACGTGCTTGTAACTGACTTCTACAAGAGGTTACTTCACTCTATCCGACGACCGACACTCACAGACGACTCATGTACGACTCACCTTCTCTGCAGGACTGTGGCTATTTTATGGCAGCAGGACGAATCCATTATATCCGAAAACGGTGGACCCCATAACACTATCTATGTAGTTACGGGTTGAATACCGTGACTTTTTCAACAAATCATTATTATCTAAGAAAAAAACCTTTTCAGACTTTAAATAACGTGAAAAGGGTTGATAAGCCGTAACAAAAACAAATGAAACTATTTATCCGTCTGCCCTCTTATCATTTTTTTAAATCATTTCACCCCAAGCAAGGCGGGAATGCCGCTAGTTCACAGGGGGGGGGGATACAGAGAGTGAAAGTGAAGGAAAAGATTGGGTAAAGGGAGGACAGTGGAAAGGATAAAAGATGAACGGGATTCAAGAAGATAGAAGATGGCGATTGACGTTTCATTTAGATTTTTGAAGATTGTAGTTAACCGGGAAGCAGGTAAACAGAAGAGAGATCTCCATGCGGGAAGAAACTGTTGAGGAGAAGTGACAGTTAGATCTATCTATCTATCTATCTATCTATCTATCTATCTATCTATCTCCTATCTATCTATCTCATCTATTCATTATCTATCTATCTATCTATCTATCTATCTATCTATCCATCCCAGTCTTTTCATAATCTATCTATCTCAGTCTGTTCATTATCTATCTATCTATCTATCTATCTATCTATCCCAGTCTTTTCATAATCTATCTATCTATCTATCTATCTATCTATCTATCTATCTCAGTCTGTTCATTAACTATCTATCTATCCGCCTTTTCATTATCTATCTTTCTATCTATCTATCTCAGTCTGTTCATTATCTATCTATCTATCTATCTATCTATCCCAGTCTTTTTATAATCGAGCTATCTATCTATCCCAGTCTTTTCATAATCTATCTATCTATCTATCTATCTCAGTCTGTTCATTATCTATCACAGTCTTTTCATAATCGAGCCATCTATCTATCTCAGTCTGTTCATAATCTATCTATCTATCTATCTATCTATCTATCTATCTATCTATCTATCTATCTATCTATCTATCAGTTCAATATTTACGCATCTATCTATTTCAGTCGCATCAGATTTCTTTCTCTTTGCCTACAGTCAACCTCCGAACGAAGGATCCATTAAGAGTGATGAAATGATTGCTCATCTCCGCCATAAATACTGTCACATACCTTTTCTCTAATAACCAAAGCAAACTTTGACCTGCCCGCGTAAAAGTATCTTTTTATACACAAATGACTCACGGCAAAAGACGCCGCAACTTTCTGCTTGCACGCCGGCGTTAACTTGATACGTCCACGATTTCCTCGTGGCGACCGAGGCCCAAAAGAAAAAAAAAAAAAAAAATAGCGCAGCCGCCATTTTAAATTGTTTTCTCATCGCACTGTCGACTTTTATAAAAACTGTTGACAGCACTAATAGTATTTTATTTGGAAAAGAATTTTCAAATTGTTCCTGGAATTCTTTTCTTTTTTTTTTTTTTGGGGGGGTGGTGGGGTGGGGTGGTGTGCATGACATAGATTGTCAACATAAAAGTTCTCTGCTTTTATCTTGGGACGTTTTTGTAATGTGTTCTATTAACGAAAGTTTTGATTTGTCGTCAAGAACAGAAAACGCGCGCAAAAGCTTCTTCAGTAATTCATAGAAAGATCTTATGTAAATGGATTGGAGAACACTGACAAGTAGTAAAAAGAAAAAAAAATCAATACTTAGCGTTACAAAGGTGTAGTGAACGAGATAATCAAGTACCCCGGAAAAAGTTCGTGTTTTGTGTGCGATCTGCCGGGAGGGATTACCAAAAGTCGTCAGCAAAACTCTTATAGCGGACTTTACCTCGTCAATCAAGCGACAGCGCGTCACGTGTATTCTGTGACGAAAAAGAAACAAGTCCGTCGCTATAAGAGTATATTAATATGCAAATTACGGAGCATCCTATCCCGGCTGTCGACTAATGGAAAAATATAGGTTCTGCCGATAAAAGCAGTTGGTGTTGTCGACTCAGGGAAAAAGAAAAAATTCAGGCAGTTTTATTACGGCGTTCGTGAGTTATTTTTCCACGCGTTACAAGTGATTTTCTTTCTTTGTTTGTTTGTTTCTTTCTTTGTGTTGTGAAAGCCACAAATTTGCTTTGAGAACGCTTAATCTTCAAAAGGATAGAAAGTTGTGGAGAGACATGATCTTATATAAGTATATATATATATATATATATATATGTGTGTGTGTGTGTGTGTGTGTGTGTGTGTGTGTGTGTGTTGTAATCAAGTAATTGGTTAAGAAATAACAAAACAAGAGGTTGCAGATAAATAGTGTATTCAACAGTAAACACAACAGAAGTGTTACACGACTTGGGAGTGTGTATCGGTTAACGAGCGTTCAGTCTGTTGATATTTAACAGTCTGCAACCAAGGGATATATGTGGCACAAGGCCGAGTTTAACGTGGGCCATCCGAGCCCGTAGGCTCGACCAAAAAATCCCCGTAGAACCAGCATAAACGGGTTCGGGTTTATCTAACTCCCCGGACGTAACACTGCCCTTCGGCACAGCCTCGTCCGGGTTCCTGTCTGCGAAAAGGCAGAGAGTTAGACAGGAGCTGCGAACAGCCTCAACAGAACAGTTTAGATCACTTATATTTAACAGCCCACCCACGAGGGTTATATGTGGCACAAGGCCGAGTTTAACGTGGGTCATCCGAGCCCGTAGGCTCGACCAAAAAATCCCCGTAGAACCCGCATAAACGGGTTCGGGTCTCTCTACCTCCACGCACGTAACTCTGCCCTTCGGCACAGCCTCGTCCGGGTTCCTCTCTGTCAAAAGAAGTGCGTTAGACAGGAGCAGCGAACAGCCTCAGTAAAACAGTCTATGTAAGCGTTAATATTTAACGCCCCCCCACCGTGGGTCGTATATGGCACAAGGCCTAGATTATTGTAAGTTCCCTGAGCCGTAGACTCGGCCAAAAATATTCCCTTTAGAACCCGTATAAACGGGTTCAGGGCCTGTCTACCTCCTCGGACAAAACTTTCTTCTTCGGCAAAGCTTCATCCGGGTTCTTCTCCGCCGAAGCAGAGAGTTTGATAGTAATGAACGGTCTATATCCCCGTTATATTTAACGCCCCCTCCCCCGTGGGTCGTATGTAGCACAAGGCCGGTTTATTGCGGGTTCTCCGAGACCGTAGGCTCGGACAAAAATATTCCAAAAATATTCCCTTTAGAACCCATATAAACGGGTTCAGACCCTACCTTCCCTCCCAGTTGACGAAACCTTGCCCTTCGGCCAAGTTTCGTCCAGTTCCCTGCTAACGCAGAGAGTTCGACGAACGTCGCTTACAGTCAAAGACTGTATCATGACTCAGCTAGACTCGGAGGTCTTACCCTCTTTGTCTATCTGTCTTAGTATTATCGATCCACCCACGTGATTGAATATGGCACAAGGCCGGTTTAATGCAGGTCCCTCCGAGCCATAGGCTCGGCCAAAAATATAACCTTTGAACCCGCCTGACGGGTTCAGGGCGTCTATCTCCCCGGACGAAACCTTGCCATTCGGCAAAGCGTCGTCCGGGTTCCTCTCCGCCGAAGCAGAGAGTTTGACAGGAATGAACAGTCTATATCACCGTTCCCCCGAGGCTTACTATCCTACTATTTTTATAGTAAGTGGAAGAGCCCACAATAGACTCATTAAAGGGAGGACACCATAACATTATAAAAGCACATTTATAAATCTATGTTTATTCTAGCTTTCTCCGTTATACCGCCATAATTAGAAGCTTTGGGTCGCTTCACTCTCAGGCCTTTACTTGCGTTTAAACATGAAACAGTCTGTCGCCAATCGCTGTTGACCTCAGTATCCACTTTTATATTTACAAGCGCTCTATCTCTGACAGTGAGCACTTTTACCCATAAATATACCAAGAAATAATGTTGCAGCAAATAAGGAAAAATGAATTGCTTAAAATTAGGTAGCTCCCCAGAAACGCGTTACCTAAGACTTAAAATGAATTTTTACAAAGGAAAAATGTTTCTTGAAGCTTTTATTTTAATTTCAAGTTAATCGATTAAATTTAATATTTCCGGTAGGAAAAATACGTTTCTCTATTTCAAAACTAATTTAAACTGATTGGAAAGAAGTTTTTGTTTTGAAATCGTTAAAATCAAGGATTTTAGCACCATTTTAACCATCTATAATCACAGTGTAATTCTCTTTATTAAAAATTCTTTCAAAAACATAATTATCATTTTCTGAAACTTTATTTGGGGAATATTCACTGATTTAAAGTTTAATTAATTTGATTCGAAAAAAATATTACTTTTAGTTTAAAACATCAAATAAAAAACATTTATAGCATGGTGGTAAATGTTTATTTTAAGATGTTGACAGCTTGACTGACAAACACAAGTTTTTTTCTACTGTGGACATATGTGTAAAATTTGATTGAGGAATATAACGTGAGCGCCTTTGTTATATAATTTTTAACTAACCAATAATCTTAAAAACATAGCAAAATATTCTCCGTTAGCTAATGTTTTATTGAATTTTAGGTTCTTTGGCTTAAATCTACCATTGTTATGGCTCTTATTTTCTGTTAACCTCGTACGCGGACATCCGTATTTACAAAATTCAGTTAATTTATACACGCAAATTCAAAATTAATCTTTAAAATACTGGGGATCGATGAATTGTAGTAAGCTTTTTCCCTTACGGTTAGTAAATATACTTTTATTTAATAACAATATCATTTAACCGGTACAAATTAACATAGAATTTAAAAAAAAATTAAAAACTTTAAAAAGTATTCTAACTATATTGTAAAAATGAAAACAATTTTTGTAAAAATTCATTATTCAATGAATTTTTTTTCTTAATGCAATAGTGTTCGTAATATATCTTATTTATAAAACAATTAAAATATTTTCTAATGAAATAATGTCTTAGCATTCTTGTATTTTTCATTTTACGATCCAGAGCATATTTGCGCTAAATGGGGGAGGGAGGTCCCGTTTGATCAAAAAATATTCATGATTTAAATTCTTCAAGCAATTTTTCTTCTAAATAATACAAACAGGAATTTCTCGAAATTTCATAAAATTAAATAAGTAGTGGGTAACTGATATATATATATATATATATATATGTAAAATAATTTACCAAGATTTTCTGAAAAACAAGCATTTCTGAAATAATTTTATTCATTTGTGAATATGTCCTGAAAATTTAAATAAAGTCCGACAATTATTTGATTTTTGCAAGAATTTTTAAATCAATGAAATATTCACCGCAAAAAGCCGCGCAAAATTTCATATACTAATATTTTACTATCCCACCCGACTGACGCAAGAAAAACAAAATAATTAACAAATATTTCGAATGCTTTAAAAAGGATAAAAAAAATAATTTAATAATAAAAAATTCCTTTGATCTTTACTCTAAATAATAACATTAAGATTTTGACGATAAAACCTTGTTTTGATTAGGTTTGGGACATTTTTTCATCATGGCATGCTCATATTTTCGCGAATTTGTGGAGGTACCTACTTAAAATCACTTTACTTATGTTTCGGGCACGAAAATAGAGTTTGTCCAATATAGACATGGGAATGTCTCAACGAGAAATATGCATTTCTTAAGTAGGTAAAAATGGCTTTGTTTTACTGAGATGGCTCCCAGGGGCAAAACACAGATGGTTTGAAAGTGTTTTTCCCCAGTTTAAAACAAGGGAATTAAAAGTACAATTTCTGTCGGCAGACACGCTTTTCTTTATGTTGTGGTAGGATCCACCTAATTTGCATAGTGGCGTACCGACCATATAAATATGGTTGGTACCGGGAAGAGAGAGGAGGAATCAAGAGATTCAATCCAGAGACTCTGCCCGACTTCGACCCAGTCAACACATTCTCCAGGAACGGTCTTACCAGGAATATACAAAAGACTATATGTAAATATTGTGTACACTTTCTTGTTTCAATACATTTTGTTCTAAGTACATTTTGTGTGGCATTATTATTCCATGCATTAGTCAAGTTTCAACACTTTATTAAGACTTTCAACTTTTAAGACGGTAAGCATTAATTTTACTGTTTAAAAGCAAACAGTATTGTCTACGTGTACCTAGTGAATATACGGTTTATATAT